GAGGATTACGGTGCTCGATTAACTCCTCTACAACGCATTTTAAATAACGCGTTATGAACTCAAATTTACAAATAGTAAAGTGAATTCGAAGTAACAGCAGGATTTTTAAATTTTCTCTTCACCTGATTAATTCAGTAAGAAAATTGCTGACATATTTTGTCACGTATAAACTGCTGTTGGGAGAGAGAGGTCACGCTTGTACATGACCTCGTTTTATACATATTCTTGTTAACAATAGATGTACTCTTTCAAAAATATAATAGAAGAACCAAGACGAAGAGAGGAAAAATGCTGCCTCGTTGTTCTCCAAACTTTGGACTTATCGACGTTAATTTCGAATCTAAGAATCCAAATAATTTCAGTTAAATTAAATAAGCACGTTTTTCAATGCTTTTCTCTTTCATTCTCAAGAATCAACCGTCAATTATTTTTAACACAATCTGGAAGCTGTCAATAAACACTGTAACATCGCAAATAATTCATGGCATTGATGTGCTTCCCTTACACCTAAAGCATGAACAAATAAAGACTAACGGATAGAATCACTTCCTTGTTTTCGGTTTTCACTTGAAGTAATAAAAAAAATCCAAAAGCGTCGGATGATCTCACTACAGTAAGAAAAATTATAAATTCAATTCGCCCGGATTAAGAGCCCAAACAATACTTAAAAGTTATATTAATATCGGGAAAAAAACCATAAAACAAAGCGTTGTTGCAGTATTTTGTTCTCTCTAAATCTTTAACAAATGTATGGTAATTTTTTACTTACCAATGTGTTTGTCGAGGTCCACGAGGCAAGAGGTTTCTGACCAAATGCATAAGGATGGAGGTTTATAACATCCATAAAACGGCACTAAGTCAGGGGCAAAAATGCCACCAATCATTATGGGTTGCTAAGAAATGGCCAGTGATAATAATGAACGGAAATGTGAGGCTCAATTCACAATAAGGAAAAATTCCGAGTTAACGCATCGTCAAGGCGATAGAACCTAGCCAGAACCATGCGACAGTAATGACTGAACGCTTGTGCTTGGCCTAATTTTTCGAGTGTTTTCTACTGAGACTTTAAATTCATTTTAGTTACCATCCTTTTCCCAGTTCACTTGATTCACGAAAAACAAGGTCTTGCGGTTTAAAAAAAAAGTGGGGGATAAAGAAAGAAATCAAAAGTCTTTAGAAATGGTTACCGAAGTAATTCTAATCGACTTTACGGTGATCTTCTATTTCTCGTCCTGATGTCGCGTTCATCCATCTACTTTTCTCGAGCGACGCAGAATTCGAATTTAGCGAGACAGACGCGGTAATATGCATTTTTATATTTTCTGATATCAATATAATTTTTTTGGGACTCTTTTTTCCTAGTTGCTTGAACCGTGGCAACAAAGAAATTGCAGTGCTCACTGAAGTGTTGATAACTTAAGGAGAGAGATAAACAAGTTTAATGCCGTTCACAATACATTTTCAACATCATGTGATCGGTGTGTGGCAAGTTTCACGGCGGACCTAGTTGACCCTTATCAGTTCGCTCACTTTCCTCTGTAGATTTGATTGTAACAAATTTCGCGCTTAAAATTAACTTTCCACGGACCTCCCTCTTGTATCAGCGCCCACACAGCCAAGCAGCCCCACAGGTAGAAAAAGAAAACAACAGAAGAAAATATCAAGCTTGTTGGTTAATGTTGAGGTGAATGTCATCCGATTTTGGATGTTTATTATTTGTGGTGACTGGTCTGTCATATAGAGGATATTACGTGGCCGCGCGGGGATACGAATTTTGTCTTCGAGTGCTGAGTGAGATACGCTACCCCGAATATTCTCGAAATCTTAAAAACAAAAGTAAAACTACATTTGAAAGAAGGGGAATCCCCTAATTCAATTTCGTTTATCTATCAGCGCACGTTTCTGGATCAGGCTATTTATAGACGAAAGATCGACCTCCTCTCAACACGTCAAAATGATCAGAAAGAAGGGGAATCCCCTAATTCAGTTTCTTTTATCTATCAGCCCACGTTTCTGGATCAGGCTATTTAAAGACCAAAGATCGACCTACTCTCAACACGTCAAAATGAAGGGACAATCGAAGCAATCAAAGGGGCTTGTCAAAACTTAGAAGGCCCTTGGATGTAACAACCTCAAAGGCCAAACGATTCAATCATTTTTCTCGCACGTGGCAAGAAAAATCCAGTTGCAAGGAAGTTCTTACAATTCAGTAATAATGGACTCGCTCCAGAGGTTTTTAAGACATGTTTATCCCAAATTAATTTAATGGTTTGGACTGCAGTACACTGATTGTTTTGATTTGTCGCGTATTGGCGGACGTGGTTTGCCGTGATTCGAGTTACAGAGAGTAAAAATATAAAGAGAACTAGCTACCTGAAGGGGTAGCAGGAGATTTGAGTTATCGAGGGTAAAATTGCAGTAAATGTATGACGGACATCGAGGGGAAATCATGATCAATTTTGGTTCGAGTTGCAGCGATGTTGAGTTCAGGATGTTTCGAGTCATCGGGAGTCGACTGCGATGTCGATTGGGCATGAAAGCAGATACAATTTTTTAGATTTAAAACCAAAAATGAAACTGATGCGGTTAGATAAAATTCACTTGATTATGACTTGAGGGAAAACGGAAGAAAAACCGAACGCGCTTACATTATCAGAGACAATTTACAAATACACTCTCTCCAGGAGATGCTCTCTAAAAATTGGAATCTGTGTTTACGAGATATTTGGCCATTAAATTTAACTATGCATAGCTAAGGATTACGCAACTTAGAATTATTAAAGAAGCTTCTTGTTATTTATGTTTAACTCGACCGTCGTAAGGAAAAGTATATACACACATGCGTGCTTCCTTTTTCCGCTTAAGATTTCGCGTGAAGCGTGCTCTGTAAGATTTGTTTGCTTTATCAAGGGAAAGAGATGGTGAATATTTTAAGAAATAAAACAAAAAGGCAAAAACTGTTTGCGTCTGAGCCATGCACATACATAATTTATATGCATAAGTCCATTGCCTAATCATCCATAACGAACACCCATAGCTATGGTTCTTTAACTAAGATAACCCCCAAAATTCTTTCAGTTTAAGTTTGTTTTTTTCCACTTATGCAGAGCAGTACTGCTATAGAACTCGCCTTTGTGAAGGTGCGCGCTCGAGGGCCGGAAATGTTTGACGCAAAGAAATTAATGAACCACATACTTTCTAGAGGAAATGCACTCCTCTCTGGATCCTTCTCGAGTTCGCTTCCATTTTTCGCAGAATATCCACGCAAAGAAGAGAATGGATGGATTATGGCGACATCTACTAATCCAATCGAGTGAAGCAGCCCACATATACGTGAATCTTAAATGAGTGGCACAAATGATACATCATCCATACAAATTTGGTTCACAGATTCGTCTGAAACTAATCGTCGGAACATTTTTTACGACTCTTTGATCTAGGAAAAGCTCTAATCCATTTAAACAACTGTCTCCATTTTTACAAACAATTTTAAAAGAAAATTGGATAACAAGCTCATTGCTTAGGGTTTAGGAGTCTGGCACTATTTCACGAGCTGAATTGCTGAAAACAATAGGCACAGTATATCTTTCCTTGAGCCAGCGATATCCAAGGCGGTTTGACGTGAGCCTATGGTAGTAGATAGGGTTAGATCAGTGAAGAAATGTACCAGACTAATTGAGCAAAATTGAGCAAATTGAGCAAATTGATAAATTTGCCAAATTAATTGTGTAGCTGCTTGCCTATTACGTCAATTAAGGTTGTAAAAACGGAGGAGAGAAAGAGAATGAAGAGGCGCTGTTGTCTTGTAACAAAAACAATTTACAACAAACTTGCTGAGGTAGGGTGAAAAAAATGTTTAATACAACTTACATCTACGCATTGTCTGCTTTATTTGCTGGAATGATATAATGATCGCGTAACTACAATTTGCAAATCTACCTGAAGTTTCAAATCCCAAGGTTACCTTAGTATCAAATAGCAAACTACTTACATAACTATAAAAAGTGCAAAGCCTAAGAAAACTAAATACCTTTTATTTATGAAGGTTACCACCTCATTATAAAATAAGCTTAGTAAGTAAATTTAGTCACAAGAAATGTACCAGTAATACTCGTTACTAACTTAATAGATGACTACCGAAATTTCAGGAGCAAGCTAGATTTTTCTTCCCTTGCTCTTTATCACACGTCTCCCGAAGGCAAAGAAGATGAAATTTGAAACCCTTACAATTCCTTCCTATTCTGGTGTAACTATAGATGAAAAAAGGTTGTAGAGGGGCTTTATTTCACATAAAAATCTAATAACCATCAAACACTACCAGGAATTTAACAACAACAACATGTGAAATGTTTTGTTTGGCTGAAAGTGTAGGGGTTATAAAATCCTTTGAAGCATTCTTTCATTTTAGATTACGAAAAAAACAACCCGCTACAAAATCTAATTTGCTGCTCAAGCCTGTGGGCAATTTACTCTGTCGTTTCCTTACAATGAGAAGAAATATAAAATTTTATTTTACAATGGACTTACTATTATGATACACAGCTTTCCATCTCCTCGCCAGACTAACCTAACACTTTTATACAAATCTTTTAAGGGATGAATGGCCTTCCACTAAAAGCAGTAAATTTGGATATAAAAGTCACTGAAAAGGAATCACTTCAACCTAAGGGGATCCTGCCACCCTCATTTCCCCTCCCCCCTCAGGTTTGCGTCCTTGTACAAGTAAGATTAAAATAACTATTACGATCTTTAACCCTCTACACCCTAACAATCTTCACTGTTCTCTTTATATTTCCTCTGGTACTGACAATGAGAGTTTGCTTGATAATCAGGAGCTTGCTAAATTGGTGATCATTGCCTTTATTTTCCTCACATTCACCATTTGATTCTAGAGTGATACAGTGAAGTCAAATTAGGAGCCAGTCATTCCTAGGCATAAAGAGTTAAATTCACGCCCACAATAAAGAATGAAAACGTCAATCAAGACACTTAGTAGAACATCGCAATTAGGAACAATTTGCCTTTTCTTGGAATTCTGAGCACTGGAGTCGAGTTTGTTATTCACTCATTCCTGTCTGACTGTACAAAGGATGGCGACAAATTGGGCAGCTGCGACTGCAAATTAAAAGGAAATATTTCAAGTGAACTTGAGAAAAACTAGTGTGGGAATGTCACAGTAGAATCTGGCCTACCTAACATTAAAAGTCTTGCAAAGTTTATTAATAACATAATATCGCCTTAGATTAAAGACAGCTCCATGATAACATGCAAAGAGCGTCTCGAAACCAAAACTGAAATTATCTCTGGACCTAAGAAAAGCTAAGGGGACAATCAGGGCGTTACCCGGGATATGTCGATTTAACCAGAGTTATTCCCAGCTGTAGGTGGGAGCGGAGGTCTGTTTCTCCGAAATTCCGTACTGTTGATTCTTGATGTAGTTTCCTATCATTTCCAAGTTATTTTAATCGCAAAAACCAATCGCTGTTTGTCAATAAATCACTCTTACCCATTGGCGACCAAGGCTCCTTAAGAGGAGACAGATTTTTTTCATTTTACATGCAACTGAAAACTACTCATTGTAGCTCGAGCAGGTCCACACACGCAACACCCAATCCAGAATTGAATACCAACAAATTTTCGGAGCAGTGGAGTGTCCTTCCATATTTAAGTTAATTCCCAAAAATAGATATTACCATATTTCATGCATACTTACACGCCGTTCTGTATCATAGCAATAGCGCACTCTCGGTGAACCTTGTGTGAGCATGGCAGGATCTGACAACCGCTGAAAGCGTCCTGAAATAAAGAACCGATCAACGAGATAAAAAAAAATGTTTGGATTGTGATCTAATTGCCATGCTTCTCTTTCGTTAGATTTCCACTCAAGAAATGCAAGCACCTGACGTTACTATGCGTAACAGGTGAATAAAACCAAATTGAGTGCAAGGTTAATTGCTTCGCATAGAGGGGAAAATCTTTTGGAAGATATTTCTCCCATTCCTTACTCTTATTCAGCCTTAATGAGTAATTACGTAACTACCTCTAAACAGATGCAGCACTCATCGTGTCCTGAATTTGCTCGGCAAGAATGTTTTCCTTCCAGCCGTTTGTCCAGACAGACGTTACACACATCACAGTGGAAGGAGCGGTCCTTGTAGATACTGAACGGGAAATAGGAGCATCACTTCGCACGTATTTTCTTGAGCACAAAATGATTCGCTGGGGAAACAAATTTCTAATTCATACTGAAAAGCGCTGTATTTCTACTTGATAAGCTGCAACAATTACTGAGGAGGAAGCTTGATACGTATGAGGAAACCAAAACTAATGTTTTGTGAGATTCAATGAGGTGTTTTAACCACTCATCGATGAAGCAATTCTCTGTAATATTTTGCTCTCTCTCTGAAGGCGGCGCCCGGATTCTTCATTAATACTGTAACACAAGTCAATAACTCCTTGACTTGGTAGTGAAGCAAGCCAATAACTCCCTGACCCTTATTCTTTTGGACAACAAGCATAATATCCAAACAAACGAAAAAAACATTCGCCATGAATATTGTTTCACCTACCGGCAGATACCACATTTTTCGCAGTGATAAGGAGCTTTATCCTCCCCTGTGAAGTGTTTACACACCGAGCAGAAATATGCTGAGAACCTTGTTTTGCATCTGACACAGGTGTGGGCGTCCTGGTTGATCTTAAAAATCAAACATTCGAAGTTAAATCAGTTATAACCTAAGAGTAAGAACCCTCTTTCATCTTATATAAAATTTCAAGTCAATGTCATTCCTATTTACCTCTTGTTGATGGCTACAAACAGAGCACTCAACAGAGCACGCCTCTCTTGCTTTGGAATTATCATTTGGGCACCCAGAGTTGTTATGACAACGATGACAAGGAAAGAACTTTCCGCAGCACGAGAACTTAACACGGCAGAGCCGCTGATAATGTTCACACAGCCATTGTCGAACCTCAGCAGGAGCCGAGTCTTGCGAAGGTGTTTCTTGTCCACCGCTCGTGGAGTTCTCTTCTACTCTTTTATTCATGAGTTCCGTTTCTCTCGCTTCCCTCGCTTCCCTCGCTTCCCTTTCTTTTCTTTCACGTGCAAGTTGTTGTTTCCTTGCCCACTCTTCTTTTCTTTTTCGCTCCGTTTCCTTCATCGATTTCTCTCTTTCTTGTCTTTCTTTCAACGTTTTCTCGACAAGACAGCAAGCTTCAGCCACACGTTGCTCGAGTACGGCCAACGACTCGTCAGCAAATGTGTTTGAATTACTGTTCAACAGACCCTGACCAGCTTCTGCACTTTCCCCGTCCAGAAGAAATCCCGTAGCGTCATCTCCTCTTTCAAACTGCGATGACAACATCGGCCTTTCGGCGAGTACATGTCCATTTGTGAAGATATTTGGCGGAGTTCTTGCCCGTGCATTACTAGTGGGAAACTCTCTGACTGTCAACGTGAGATTTGCTTTAGATCCATCTTCGACGAAGCTTGAAGATTGAGGCAGTCCTATGGTCTTCGCTGGAACAGTTTTGGGCATCAGGACTAAGTTGAGGGATGACTTTTGCGGCTGATAACCATCACGACTTGAGTATATTTGTGGAGGAGATCCCGTGGTACTGGCGTAGGCAGAATAATCTCCTGCATAAAATTTTGTAAAATCACGACATTCGGGAAGTATCAATGAACTTAGGGGAGTAGGGTGGTACACTTCAGGCATACATCCAGATCTGTTGTACTCGGAGTGTGTACCTGCAGGAAATTCTAAATCTTCACATGGGCCACAAGAATCCCAGCGCTCATCAGATGCATTGCACCCACAAGAATGACGTGCGAGAAAAATGGGATCTAATCCGATGTGATTTGTTCCAAAGTCATCCTCACTTGGATCTCTTTGTGAACTGTGGCCTGACGGAAGATCGCTTCGGCGTCCACCTTTCAAACCAAGAGATCTTTTTTCTTTCGAATTACTCTCATGGGAATCTCCTGGTGTTTTTGGAAGGGCAACAGCTTGGGTATTCCAATCCTTGTCAAAGCCGCAAGCCCCATTTGTAGGAAATACATCGCAGTTTTCACCGCTGTCTGCAACCACATCTCCTCCCTGAAAAGAAGCTTTAAGGACATCGTTCTGTCCATCTCTGACTTCATTTGGTGTTTCCAGTATCTCCTGTGAGATGCTGATTCTCCCGTTTTTATCCTTTTGAGATGGATTTTTAAGGCGGTAGTGATGCTCGCCTTCACGGTTTTGTTGACTAGAAATTTTACCTGGTTCGTTAAATTCTTCGTTGCTGTCCCACTTGTTGTTGTCTTCTCCAAATGATTGAATATCAGGGCTCACAACTCCATCTGCCGCGTTGCAAGGAAATTCTCGCCAGCTTCGGTCAGGGCGCGACTTCAACTGAGGAACCTCTTGGAAGTCCTCGCACAATAAAAGCTTGGCAAGAGCGATGTTACATTGCACTAAATCCGGGTGATCTGAAGCGTAGTCAAAACTTGTTAAAATACTCAATGCTTCTTCAAAGAAATGCTTTGATGACAAGTTTTTTTTCATTAGAAAGAATCTAACACCTTGCCTATAGAGAAACGATGCCTGTGTTGGGTGGTTTTTCCCAAGCGTCTCTTGGCAACTTGGTACAAAAACGTCAAGGAAAGATGCAAAGTCTACGTTTTTTTCGTTTAAGTGATAATCAACTAAATTCAATATTGTTGCGAATAAGAAGTCCCAGTGGAATTTTCCACTACATTCGAGGACACCTTCAAAATCGGGAAAGAAAAACGGAAATGAAGACATCAGTGACGAAGCAAACGATGAAGATGACGATGTCGATGACGAAGATGACGATGACGATGACGATGACGATGACGATGACGATGACGATGACGATAATGATGATGATGATGATGATGATGACCCTAACCCTGACCCTGATGCTGCCGAAAACGATTGTGAGGAAGGTGATAGTAGTGGTGAAAGCGATTGAGGGGAAAGAGAAGGGAAAGCCAAGCGGTCCGCTATTTTCTCTGCACGAGCCACATCTCCAATCGTTTGATACGCCAAACAAATTTTAGAAGATATGAATTTTGAGAATATTCCTCCTTCATTGTTCATCCCCACAGATAGTGCATCCAATTTCCTCAGCTCCATGAGTGCTTTGATAGGTTCTTTGAGCTCTGTGAACAACTCTGCTCTATTGTAATATATGGCAGCTACCAAATGTGGGGGAATAATGGGGTCTTTGGCTTTCAGAAGAAGACGCTCTTGCAACTTCACTGCAGTAGGGTAGTTTTTCTGACACTGGTAAGCTAAGCTTAAGTTGATTTGTACAGCAACAATGTTTATTTCTGGAGAGTCAGTTTTGTTTTTAAATGTTTCAAAAATCTCCAGCGCTCGTTCTAAATAATCTTTAGCCTTGTTCATAGCTCTCATAATCAGATAAACACAGCCTACATTAGCCTTGGCTACTGCTCTTAAAATATTGATAACTTGCTCGTTGTTTTTAGGACATGGCGTGGTATCAAATATAAAAAGTGAATCACATCGCTGAAATAAGGCTATAGCTATTTTATATTCATGCAGCTTGAGTGCAACAGCACCAAAGACAATAGTAAATCTGGCATAAAACTGGTCATCCGTATCTGTGGGCAGCTCAGGGTTTAACAAAACAGCACCAAAGAAAGGAGGAGCGGAGCAATAACTCAAACACATCTTTCTACCTCGATCCACCTGCTCCTTCTCGTAATCAGTCGGGTTTCCGAAACTATCTGGGGTTAGATTCAGGAAGTGCTTATGACCAGCTTGTAAAGACTCTGTGGCCGCTTCCACTTTGCATTGCTGGAACTGATCCATCGTTTCTTGAAATTGTTCAAACGTCCTGCGTCTGGCCGACTGATTGTTATCACTTTCTAATTCATCCTCAAGACAGGATCCTGAATCAGCGTTTTTCGGGATCTTGGGATCTGTTCCGTCCATTTTTCTATGTCAAAGTATTACTCCTGAAAATAAGATAAATCTTAAAACAGAAATTCATCCACATTAAGTGTCAACAAAGTTTTTATAATAGAGCTGAATAATGTCGCACGTGGCGGAATGCTTAGGTCAGCTCTCTCGCACGCGTTTCTTGCGTTTTTACGGAGGTCCTGCAGCAGGCTGGCATTTGGTTTTTGGTGACTTTCTGATATGTTCATATAAGCTCATGAACATATTAAGATAAAACGATTAGGTTTCTAATGGGAAGTGGGTTTGTGTTTTTATGTGTGTGCGACGCTTTTGCGATGATACAACCAAGTTCTCTTCTGGGTTGTGAATTGCGTTGCTAAATACAAAAGTAGCGCGAGATCATCTCGGCCAAATTAACCCTGCCTCATACGGCATCTCAAAAATGCCAGTGACTTTAGTCGCTATTTCAGAAATTTCCGAACCAAATCAAACAGCCAAAGCAATACAATCATAAACATTCTATGACAAATAATGTACACTAAATATCGACTAAAAAATAGTTCAAAAAGCGTGTGTAGTTTAAACCGAAGGAAGGATTCAAGGCGGTCTTATGTTCTTGCAAAGTGCCATTGTATTACAGTTTTTGACTATATGATGCGCGTGCGGCGAGGCAAGGGGAACACAGAATTTCGCAACAAGCAAATGAAATACATTCACTAAACGCTAAGCATAATATGCAAATGAAAGCAACCTAAAGGGACTCCTTGTAGCACTATAAAACCTAAAACTTATAAAGGAAGACCTGGCATCCATGTGATCCGTTTATCATAGCATTTCAAAAGCAATCTTCACGATGGTCTGGAAATTTGGAGGAGACATGTTGAAGATGAGTCCACTTGAGAGCTGTCTTCCATTCCAAAGAAATGATAAATATGAAACAGACTAAGAGTAATTCAAATATCTTGTTGCGCGAGACTCGCGCAAGGAGATGGAGGAGACTCGCGCCTGTTCTGACGCCTGTTCTGTAGGCTAATCTGGCCTTAATTCGCATGATCACGAGAAAATTTTCATAGATACAATTCGTAATCTTCGATCCCTGTAATCCAATTTATTTAAAGTTTGATTAGCCTGCAGTGCAGGCGTCTTGTTGGTGCGAGCTAACGCTAAAAGCTCGCAATCGTTTGCTCGACCGGCCAAGTTTGATTTGCAGTTAGAGTGGACGGTGGGGGTAGGGGGCGGGGAAGGGGAGAAAAGAAACCATAATCTTAACTCCCCTACCCCACCCCTCTCCTTATTTTTGACCGACGACCGCCCCCTTGGTATAAATTTATTCCTTTCCCCAGCCGACCGCTTCCATTAAAATCAAAGAAAGCGGTCATAATGTTTGTTATGAAATTACTTAGCACCTGCTAGTGGTTTCCTGTGTTTTTGCAGGTACTTTAAAGTACAGCTTACGTAGAGGTTCAAATATTGTATTGAAGGACGTCCTGCGATCTCAAACCCGCAGGTTTGTCTGAGAATGCCAGAAAGTTTATACCTGACGCGTGACTAGATCCAAAAATCAATACTTGACACGGGAATTTTACAGGAAGGCAAGGTTCAGTGAGGTTTGAAGTTTTCCCTTTTAAATTCGTGGCGCGTGAAATACCATTTTAAATACATGTGACGCGTGATTGTTTCTAAACTTTGTGCTACCCTCTTGCCTACCTATGGTTCAATTAAGTTGTTTATTACCAACGACAAAATAAAATAATCCGGCGAATTACACTGATTTATGTGAGTAAATGTGAATTGAATGTCGGAAGTAATCCGGGAATGCATTGCTTTTGCTAGACTTCGATCGGTGATTGTTGTAGATAATTCACGCCATCCTCTCAGCCAATCAGATTCAACACTAATCGTAATCACGTCTTGGTCACGTCTTTCGTGAGTACTTTGGTTTTGGTTTCGAGAGACTCGATCAAAATGCTTCCTAATTTTGTGTATGGTTAGCTCAAAATGAAAGCAGATCACGGGTACTCAAGAGGAACGCACACCTACTGAATTAATTTCCAATAAAAATAAAGAATAATTATTACAGGCATGAATCAGAGATTATTCTTCTTATGCAATATATCTCGGCTATCAACGACCTACTCTTTTCTTTTTCGACCTACTCCGGAAGCTATTCGGAAGGTGGTAACAATTATCATCCTAATATGCATTCTAAAGTATGCAATATATTTCGACTGATAACGAATATCTGCTCACTTTGTCTCTTCTACTGTGTCCGGAAACTATTTTAGAGGGCGGTTTGAAGCAAATCTGTTGTCCAGTGGTATCTTCAGTTAGTCTGTAATTTCTCCGAAATAGCGTGCAAGCAATTGCAGAACGAATAGATTATTTTCCTACCCATGCGTGTATCTCGATTTAAAATTATGCTACATACACACTATGAGCGTTGACTACGGCACTACACAAGAATTTAGACTTTCAATAGTAACCACAACAGTTCAAAGCGTTAGGTTTGTCTAGCTTCGAATTAAACTAATCTCGTGACAATCTGTTGATTTGTCTTAGGGATTGCAGACCTGTGGAACAGGCTTTGGCAAACAGACCTCTCCTTCACGTAATAATCTGAAGTACAGTTTGGGAAAATTCTAGCCTTACCTGGTTAAACTGGATTGAGTTGAAGTTCAGTTCAGGATAGGGTCTTGTTTGAGCAAGCTGAAAATGATGTCACATGATCGAAACAGAAATTAATGATTGAAGCATAAGCTGTTCAGGGTCATTAGTTCAATTTTGCTCAAAGCTCTCATCAAAGATAATAACACAACATGCTCAAGCGGAAACAAATTATAGCGCCTTGGGTAAAGGAGCGTGCGAGACTCTCGAGCTCGCGAACCATGCATGTCGAAGGCCTCTTTGAAAACAGTCGCATACTGCATTCGGCCCTGGCGTGTTAGCACCGTCTAGAGTGGCCTTTCAAGACAAATCCATCGCCAAACATGCTAAAATCAACAAGTCTTAGTCTTGTCTACCAAGAGGGTTAGCGTTGCAGCTTCACTCTGTTATGAAATTGCAGCTGGAAGCTTCCAACCGGAAAATGCACCAACGAATATAAAACGCTGAAATTAATTCTCTAGTGGCCGAGACTTAATTACCGAAAGTAATAGAAGTTTGGCTCAATTTTCATAATTAATAAACTTCCTAAAGTGCCTATGACACGAATTTTGTTTCTGTATTTTCTGGTCGATAGCTGTATTTAAAATTAGAAATAACCGACCTTAGCACCTAGCGAGTTCTCCTTGACCATTTTTTTGTGTATTGAAAGTACGATTTGGCGGCCAAAAGGTGTCCCCATCAAGCGGGCGGCCAAAATAATCACATAGCTATGCTGTAAATCATATAGCTGTGACGTAGAAAACTGTGAAGACACCTCGCAATCATGGTGGAGAAAGGAGAAATCTACAAGAAAGGACGAACGTATTGCGTGGCCGGAGCGCCAAATGATGTTAGCTACAAGAATAATACACATAAACCGGATATTTCTATACACTACTCTCCAAAAGATGTAGCTGTATGGCAAAAATGGACGCATTTCGATCGTCGACATCAAGGCGATTTTACTCTTTAATGTAGTCGGCCTTATGCTCCATACCAGCTTCGAAGACGGCTTCTACGGACCATACGGACCTTCTACGAACACATACCACTTGTCAAATCAAGGGAAAATAGCCAGTGAATTCAGCTAAAAATAATGTTGATTAAGTGGCCTATTCCCACACCGTACACGATTGCTTAACATTCTTTTCGGCTGACATTTCGCAAGCGAAGATTGATGAGCTTCTTATTGTTGTTTATTTCACGCGCTGGAGATGTGCTCATTGTGATGGTTTCCTGGAAAAACTGGATCGAGGATCACCGGATCAAGGATCATCGGACCAAGAATCAGTTCAAAATGAACCAAATAAATTATAAAAATTAATAGGCACGATTGATTGCTCATCTACGTGACTCAGTCAAGATCTCTCTCTGTTAACAGACAGCGTTGTTTTTTAGCCCTTCCCCTGTCCGCCGACTTTCACGCTACCCCCGAGAACGCTTGATCTCAAGTTAGATAAGAAACTGTCTATTCTTAGTCCCAATGTAGTTTCCGGGGATTTTCATTGCATAGACAACGCAAACGTCTGTAATTTTAATATTTCACTAGAGAAATGAAAATAGAGGGTTTTTTTTTTGTCATCTACTCAAACCTTTCTTCTCCACCAAGACATTTGTAGACACGGCCAATGAACAACAAAATCGCTATTATTTTCCAATTCTTTGCATTTCCATCCAAGCATTAGTCGATCTGACAAATATTCCCAGGTTTTCTCTTTGACATTGAGCTGGATATTTCATCTGTTTGCGAAAAAGTAGTTTTAAAAATTACGTTTTTAAAGCACTTCTGCTTTTGCGCACCATGCTAAACCGTTGGTGCGGTTCCCCTGTTAAAGCTATCGAGAAACAGAGAATTGGCAAACGTCAACGTCCTTTATTTTGTCGGAAGTGATCAAGTGTGGGACCAGATTTTCTGCCTGCTGTGCTTACTGGTGACAACAAAAAAAAAAGAAAAAGAAAAAACAATTCTTCCTCATTAGTCATCAGGTACTTTCTTTAAAAAAAAATCACGTAAGCTAAGAACTGATTCAATTCTCCAGCGTGTATTCTTGAGATCTTCGACTTGATGCTTCCGTTTATACTCCAGGAGACTCACAACAACAACTCAGTGGGGCGATGCAATTTTATCATTTTTCGAATCATATCTCTTGTCAAATCCTGTCGGAAAAACCACTAAAACGTCTTCTTCGAAGCAAGTGATTCTTCAGATGCATTCCATCTGCTTTTCCTCTAAGGATATGACATCAGTAAAAATTTGAAGAGATGAAATTAAAGCAGCTGAAAATTTGCTGTTCACCGGCAGTCGCCAAAGACGGCTTCATGTTCTGAAATTGCACCGGACGTCGGATACCCAATCTCATACCGACGCTCGGGATAATTTGGAAATTTCA